GAGCGCGAGGTGACCAAGGAGCACGGTGACCCGGGGGACACCTGGAAGGATTACTGCACGCTGGTCACCATCGCCAAGAGCTTGTTGGACCTGAACAAGTACCGACCCATCCAGACCCCCTCGGTGTGCAGCGACAGTCTGGAGAGTCCGGATGAGGATATGGGATCCGACAGCGACGTGACCACCGAATCTGGGTCGAGTCCTTCCCACAGCCCGGAGGAGAGACAGGATCCTGGCAGCGCGCCCAGCCCGCTCTCCCTCCTCCACCCTGGAGTGGCTGCGAAGGGGAAACACGCCTCCGAAAAGAGGCACAAGTGCTGCTACAGTGGCTGTGGGAAAGTCTATGGAAAATCCTCCCATCTCAAAGCCCATTACAGAGTGCATACAGGTTAGCGGCGTCGCCCTCTCCCCCGAGCTCTGGGGTTAACCTTTGGCCAGGCAGCGTGCCTGGGGGTTAAGGACACCGCACGCGGCCTAAGCGGTGCAAGCATTTCGTACCAGTTACTGTTTTAACTCTTTGAATACTTCACCCGGGCAGGGGCGGACAGTCACTGTCTCCTTAATTGTCTCCTTAATTGTCTAGAAGCCACAGAGACCCCTAAAGTGGCGGGCCGAGGCAGTGCAGTGCGTGGCTTCCCAGGGATGGTGCCCGCCCCTCCCGGGTCCCGCCCCGCCCCCGGGGTTCCTGCACCCTGCGACGGTGGGACCATCCCACCTGGGAAGACACTGGCAGCGGGGAAGTCAGATGGCGTATCTTTTATTTAATTCCCTTGTGAGGTTGCAGCAAAGTGGCTGAAACCTGGGGGGAAGCGGCGCAGTTTGCGTGGAGCCTTTTAGGGATGACTAAGGACTCGTGTAGCTGGATGCCTGCTACTTTTCAGGGCTTGCCAAGGTGGTTTTAAATTTGGCCAAGAGTCCCCAGAGAGGTTTAAAATAACACTGCTTCAGGCAGCAGAATAGTTTGATCAAGTAAACGCTTGATGGGTTAACTTCACGACTAGTTAGCTTTTCTAAGAAGCGAGATTTCAGAGCTGATTTTTCCCCAGTGTGACTGAGGTCGCGCCATCCTCCACCCCTGAATAGGGCGGTTAGCGCGGAGGTGTGGTCCTTGCCGGGAGGTCAAGCCTGGAGAAGATTGGGCGGTTCTGGAGGCCTCTGGGTAGAGTTGCTCCCAGGGAGGGCAAGTGATAGGGTTGTGTTTATGACGGGAACTGGAAAGACATCTGCCGTTTAAAAGGGGCTTTGGGGACTTGCAAAAACCTTGGGCAGCCAGTTCTGTTGGTTCTGTTTAGCATGCACTGGGAAAGTTGGCAAGCATTTACATTTTGATGTGCTGTCCAACCTATCTTTAGGAAGGTTCTTTGGTGACTGCTGTTCTGATAAGGCCGCACTGGGCTGGGTCCTGTCGTGAGAATGCTGTTTTCCTCTGTCCTGTGACTCCGTGTTTAAGAGGGCCTTGTGGGAGTTACTTGGGAAATCATTGTAGTTTCTTTGGTGTAATAATAGTTCTATACTCTTAAGATGAGGCCCTGGGCCTGTGGTTTTAACATGATACTTGGTTGGGGTGGAGGTAGGGGTTCCTTTAGTTTTATTTTGCCTTTTAAAAGAGAAGCCACATTTCTGCCTTCCTATTTTATTTCCTTTGGAAAGTGGTTCTTGTGGAGGTGGCTTCTGGCAAGGACTAAAACGGAATCTTCCCCATGGTTAATGCGAAGTGAGGTTCTCTTTGGGGTCGTCGTGTAGGTTGCCATAAAACAGCACATTTTACAGTTTGTATCTGGAAGGTTGTTGAAAGGCATGTGCCTGTGTGGGGGATGTGACCTTTAGTGTGGCTCTGGGGGTGAAGTTGGGGTGTATTAACCCGAGGGTGTTACTCACCAACAGCTGCTGGGCGGGCCTGGCCATGTCAGCCATGTTCCCATGTTGTTCACATCGACACCCACTGCCACCTTGAGCAAAGGCATTTTCTCCTTCAGGGAGCTGCCCAGTCGTGCAGCTGGGGAGGCCTGCAGTGCCTCTGTCCGGCTCAGGAACAGGAGTTCCAGCATTCCCAGCCATTCAGCTGAGTGATTTTCTCAGGCATTTATAGAAATGGCTGCTTATGTGTGCGTGCATGCGTGCTGCTCTTTAATTCTCCATAAGGCAAGTCGGCTCAGCTGTTTTAGGAGAACCGTTTATACAGTCCAGAGTGGAAAACGAAGTGTTCATTCCTTTTTAAATACTATAGTCGGTCTTTGGAAAGTAGTGCCACGGTGATTGCAGGTGTCTTATTTATGTTCTTTTGGGGCGGGGGGGGGGTAGCCTGTAATCCTAGTGCCTGGCCGAACAAAAACTCAGCCTCTAAATTTTGCCAGAAGCATACTCTTGCCACAGGAGGTATGTGTTAAGGATACTTCGAGTAAGTGACTTCCAGAAGGAGGTCTTGGGCACTTGGAAGTTTCAGATACAGCTTCACGTTAGATTCATTTCTGGGTGGGGTAGGGAGATCCCTGATTTTTCTTCTGCTGGTATTAAATCCAGAAGGTGGACAGAGATAGCATAGGGATTGTCTGCATTCTGTGAAGATTTTAAGAGCTGGAGCCCCAGCCACGCCCCCTTGCTCACTGCAGCCCAGCCTTCCTTTAAGAATCCTTCCTGCTCACTCACTTCCTTCTAGAGCCTCCTACTGCTGCCATTTCAATAGACCAGTGGCTTTAGAAGTTCTATCATTTAGACACATTTTTATTTAACTCAGTGCAGCTATTTCTGTCGTGTCCTGAGAAAAGATGCAGTTGAGGTCAGCTGAGCCGGGTTCTGAGTTGTCCTACAGTTTTCCAGTTGTGATAACTATGGGAACAAGTCACTTTAATTCGGAGTTTGCAGACTAGAGACCTGCTGCCGAATTTGTTTTGCAGATTTGTTTGGCTTGGACAACACAGGGTTTATACACATTTAATTACTTACCAACATCTAAAAATGAGAGGATTTCGGAACAAATCCAGATTTCAGGCTTCTCTGGAAAAATCCAAAGATCCAGCAGTACTGGGCCAAAATTCCTGTCTAGCAACAATTGGATCGTACTGATCATTTTTTAATTTTTGGAGAGTTTTTTGCTATAGGGCGTGTGTGCTCACCAGAAAGAGAGAGATAGACAGCGAGAAATCAGCCCCCATGGGAAATGGCCACACCACAGTTCCTTCTCCTCCACTCTCCTCTCGGGATCTTGGGCACGCACGCACACATGCCCGGCTTGAGTTTTAAGCCACCAGGTCCAGGACTCGAACTGCGGTCAACTACATGGGAATCCAATAACATAGCTATTATGCCATCTGCTGGTCCCTGTACTGATAGTTTTAATATGGGGCAATACCCCTTATTTGAATAATTTGCATGGTCTCTGCTGGCGTTTAAGTTTGCAACCAGTACTTTAAGCTTCGGTTTCTTAATTCGGAAGGCTCTGGGTTATTATCCTTGACTCACAGGTTTCCAGGCAAAGATGAGCTGCTGTATAAAGCACCTCCTGATAGGATCCCCCACACAATAGGCCTTGAGAAGTAACAGATCTTACCTTTTATGGGTAATGTACAGGGGTTCTCAACATCAGGAAATAGGGTAAACTCATTTTTAAGCTGTAGGTTAGTTTACCTTTTCAAATAATGCTTTTGCTTTTCTTCAGTCCCCAGCCCAGACATCTTTTCTGGAGATACACCTCTGAAATTTAGGCTGTAGACTCCTTGCAAGGGGAGAAAACGTGCAACATGAACACTTTTCTCTGTTGTCAGACTTTTTGGTCACTTCATAGTACTTTTTTTTTTTCTTTTAAATAATTATTTCATCTAACTTTATTTATTTGTTTTTAATTTGACCAGAGAGGGACAGAGCAAGAGAGAGAGAAAGTGAGAAAGCAAGCCACCAGGTCCAGGACTCAAACCGTGGTCGGCCATGTGAGAATCCAGCACCCTTAACCACCATGCCACCTGCCGGCCCCCTTTGTAGTGTATTTAATGTTCTGTTTCAGATGAATGATTAGACCCGTTGAGTACAACACATGAAAATACATTGAGCGTGTTATTTATTATTTTTTTGAGAGGTTTTTGCTATAGGGCGCGTGCGCTCGCCAGATAGACAGATAGAGATAGAGAGATAGAAAGCAAGAAATCACCCCCCAGGGGGGATGGCCACGCCGCAATCCCTTCTCCTCCGATCTCCTCTCGGGATCTTGGGCACGCACGCCTACGCGCCCTGCGTGAGTTTTAAGTCACTGGGTCTGGGACTCGAACCGCAGTCGACTACGTGGAGTCCAGCGACATAGCCATTACGCTAACTGCTGGTCCCTCGAGCGTGTTATTTGAAAATATAATAGCATTAAGTTTATCCTAAGTCTTGACTTTTTGAACACCTTGCACAGAAAATATGTGCATATTTGGTGGAGCCCTTTGGAGGGTGTTTATTTTGAGGAAAGAAACAGCGACATCCTCGTTCCAGATCAGAAACCATCAGAACAGGCCGATGTAGAATCACACAATGTTGGTTTCCCACTGGTAGAAACCTTAGGTCTTATTTCCATCTCGGGTGCCATTTTATTCTCTTTTAAAGGAAAAGCTTCTGTCAACTGTCCTCAAGTGGCGACAGTGGGGTGAGCTTGATGACATGGGTTTTAGGATTCTGAAAATCAGAAAGTTCCAAATCTCAACAATCACATTGCAGTTCAGTAGAAAAATATTAAAAACCAACAGTGTTTTTTGTTGTTGTTGTTTTTGTTGTTTTTTCTTTTCTTTTTTTTTAAGTTTTTGCTATAGGGCACATGGTGGTAGGCAGAGAGAATCAGAGAGAGAGGGAGGGAGAGTGAGAAAGCACCCCCCAGGAGGGATGGCCACCCTGCAATCTTTTCACCTCCAGTTCTCATCTTGGGATTTTGGGAATACATGCACAGGCGCCAGGCATGTTTTTTATGCTACTGGATCTGGGTGCAGTCCAAACAGTTGGTCATGTAGGATCTAGCTACCTTAACCTCCACACCACCTGCTAGCCCGTAAAATCAACTTTTTTTAAAAAAAATAGAGAATGGGGAACCAGCAGTTAGCGTAATGGCTATGTCGCTGGACTCCCACGTAGTCGACCGCGGTTTGCGTCCTGGACCCGGTGGCTTAAAACTCACGCCGGGCGCGTGTGCGTGCGTGCCCAATATCCCGAGAGGAGAATGGAGAAGAAGGGATTGCGGCGTGACCATCCCCCCTGGGGGATGACTTCTCGCTTTCTGTCTCTATGTCTCTCTCTGTCTGTCTGGCGAGCGCACGCGCCCTATAGCAAAAATCTCTCCAAAAGAAAAATAGAGAATGTAAAACAAGGAGAGATGAGAGCTCCAAAACCCTGAGTGGTTGCTATGTCTGTTTCTCCTTGTCGTGTTTG